CACCCCCTCCTCTCCTCCCCATCTACAACCATTTTATTTCCATCTTTTCATTATCTCTCATTTTTTTCTTTTCCCTTATTACCCTTCCCCTACCCATCCCACCTTCCCTACACTTTTAGCTCCTTTCTTCCCATTTCTCAATGTCAGTAATCTTATTAGGATCTTCTGTATTATTGCAGATTATTCACACCAGTTGTTGATTCTTAATACTGATTATAACTTACAAAAGACTATCACCCAGCTGGGTTTCAACAGCAGCACCAAGGGTTATTTTTCCATCACTAAAACAAACAAGCAAAAGGGATTTACTAATGTCATGAATAAAAGACCACACAGATAATAGACTCACAATGGTGTTAAACCCAACTTCAGTCGAAAATATTAGTAAGTTAAAAAATGCACTTAATACAAGATATAATCACAAAGGATGGTGAATGTTAAAATTAAAAATAATTATTACAGCAAAAGACACATTGCTATTAATTCCCCTCAAAATACTCCCCCTCACTTTGAAGACACGTATCCCATCATGCTTGCCACTGGCTAACGCAGTTCTGGCAGCCCTCTTTTGTTCCTTTGGTTGGGCTCTCATGGCTACTTTGAAGTCCAGAACTGATCCAAAGCATATGGTCATTCTGACTCTGGGAAGAGCTAGAAGTGGAATGGTGCCAGATCCATTCAATAAAGGAGATGCAGACACACTGTAAAGTTGTTATATATAGAAATCTCATAAATGTTTTGAACTGATTCAGGACATCATGGCAGCCAAAACAGTTCAAAGAAGGACATTCACAAAAGAGGACTTCAGAACTGCCTTAAAAAGTGGAAGCAACGATTTGGTAAGTGTGTTTCAAGTAAGGGGAAGTATTCTGAGAGGGTTTGGAGGTAATGTCTTTTACTATAATAACTTTTAAACTTAAATATTCTCAGATTTTTTTCTTCATATCTTATATACTTAACCCACCAAATGACATAGGTGAGCCTATCCTACCTTGTATATACTTAGAATGATTACATTAGTTTATAGTTGGGCAAAATTATCTAACACAAAGCCTATGTTATAATGAAGCACTATAATTCATTAAATGTTATTCTGAAAATTAAAAAAAAAAGTGCCACTGTAAAGTTGAAACATTGTTATCCTGAACCATTGTAGGTCAGGTACTGTGCATATTCTAAGTGAACAGCACTGTCAAAACCAAAAAACATGTGCAAAGGAAGATATTTTTATTATTAAAAAATTATTTATTTGGCCTAAAGTACAATTAGACAATTAATTTGGAAATATGCTGGCAAAAAAATGTATTTGCCTATATGGAAACTACTATATCGCTTTTCTATTTCCTTCATAGTCATCGTCAAAACAGCTTTCTGGAACATAGCTGTTACTCTCCTACTACAATCCTTTGATGACTTAGGAAGTAAAATTCAAGTTCTTAAAAACACCCCTCTAACCTGGCTACCTTATCTCCCAGGCTTAGTTCCCATTATTTCCTGCTTCACACTTTATACTTCAATAATATATTAAAGGTCCCCTTGCACATGTCTTCTTGAATATTTATACTGCAGTGTTAAACTGTGAATGACATACTTCTCTTCAAATGAAGTCTCTGGCTTAGGAGGCAACTTTGATTTTTCAGCAGTTTCCATGCCTATGGAGGCTGGCAATAATGAAGGAATTGAAACTTGCAAGATGCTGGTGTGGAGCTGTAATATAATTATAAAAGTAAAAACAAACAAACAAAACAAAAACCGCACAGAAACACAAAACAATCCATCAAGCAAAACAAAAAGTAAATATAGATAAATGACACCCGCCTTACAGGGGAGCAGGGATCTAACACTAAAGCTGAGTACAATACTTGTAAACAAAGTACTATTTAATTTAATTTATGTCTACCACAAGTACGGTATGGAACACTGGTCTGGTCAATTATTATATTATGTGTGGAGAAGCCGACTAATTAATGTAATTGATGAAAAGTGTAATTAAAACCAGTCAATTTCAAAGTATTCTGTAGTCACCACTTGGAATACTTCGCTTAGTGACATTACAGCAACAAATGAAATGCTTAACACATTTTTCTCAAATTCTTTATATATTTTAAGTGTGAAAGAATTTTAATACTTGAGTTTTCAATAATTTATGAAAAAAGGAGAGCAACTCAATTGTGGTCCACATCAAGAAATAATAAATCAATACTTTAAAATATATTCCAGGAAGAAAGTAAACAGCAAGTGAACAGAAAATGAAATGAACACAAAGAAAATGTCAAGTGATCACTGACAACTCTTTATTTCTGAACTTGAGCCAGGTAAGGACTCATACCAACGAACACACTTTTCCCCCTGGCCTGCGGGTGGGCTG